TAATTTGAGCGATCAATTAGTGAACGATTAGAAATCCAATAATATATTCTATATTTTTACTTCTTGGTGTTACTAGTATTTCATGTAAAAAATCCCAAATTAAAAACCAACGTAACAGAATTTTTTTACAAACGAAAAAAATAGCATACAATATTTTTACCGGGTTATCGCGGTAATTACAGAATCGAACATCGTTTCCGTATGTAATAATATGCAGATATTCTCGCACGTTGAAAATTATGAAACGATTGATCAATTATGAATTACTCGTTTAGGAGTTGGATATCGAAACATCTACTATATCTACAAATACGACGATGTATACTGGAGCAACAGCTGGTGTGTCCATATCCCGAGTTAATTAATCTGACTGGACTCGCTCTTCAGGCCGAATTTGGGAATTATAACGTGAACGTGAGTAAATGCGAGATACGTTGCTTTTAAGATTATCATTGGAATTAAACATCGATTGGGACACGTGCACGCCACAATTACCGATGCAGAGAATTGTAGAACATTCAGCTGTACAAATATAAACGGAATCAGCTTAACCCTTTCGTGACCACTGGGGCGCATATGTGTCTCGTTTGAGTACTCGAATAAAAATTCATCCATTGGTAGATAAATAAGAAATTCTTGGAAAGAATAATTTGGTCACGAAAGGGTTAAAGATGGTTTCGAACATGTGCACACGCAGATAATTTTAACGATAAATTTTCTTTTTGAAATATACGTTTAGAAATCTACTTTACAAAATTATGAAACTAGAAATTTCTCTTATTTGATATCTTTTAAAAAATGCTTTAAAAGTAAAACTTTGAAAATTTGACAATTACACAAAAAAATTTTTCTTGGAAAAATTTGTATAAAATTCAATAATCTCATATATAATAATTCTTTCTACAGTACAAAATTATAAAAGATAAAATTTCTCATATCTCGTTTCAAAAATTAATTAAAAAATATTCTTTTCATTTTCTCTTTAATTCTCTTTCTTAAATATACATTTAGGAAATCCTCTCCTCTTCCTACAGTACAAAATTCAAAACCTCAAACCAAACCTTCAAAATTCCAAAAATCCCAGAAAAACGAACATAAAAGTATCCTTCCTAAAACTTCAACGAAGGCAAACCGATCAATTCCTTCTTGTCGCTAAATTAAACGCTCCCGATTCACCACAGAATCTACTTTATCTTTTCAATTTCACAACCCGTCGCTATCTCCGAATATCCGAACCGTTCCCTCGCCGAACAAATCGTCTAGATCTCGGTAAAAAAAAAAAAAACACCGTCCAAGACCCTAAACAGATTTCTCGCCTGGTATCCTTCTTCCTTCCGCGACATTATCCCCGGAATCGTTTCGTCGCGATAACGCGTGACTTCTCTCGCCTCCTGTTTAGGAACACGGCTGCGGCGATTACTTCCTGCTCGAGCACTACGTCCCTGAATCGTTGATCCTGAACATAGATCAGCATCAAACTCAGATGAACAACGGAGGGGCCGAGGCTCTCCGAGCCCGTCTCCATCAGGCTCATCGGGATAGACGTGGTCTGGACTCGAACAAAGCTGAGGAAATGTTCATAACTCACGCGCAGACGCTTCCGGATTACGGTTCCCACTATTACATCGCTACTGTCGACTCGAAGGAGCTGGAGAAGGTGATGGCGCAACAGAGGAAAAGAAAACCGGACAGTAATTGCGACACGTCCGACGAATTACTCGATTCCAGCGAGAATATCTACAGCCAGGACGGCAGAGTTCAGGAATATCAGATACGCGGTCGTATCGAGATCTCGCGATTAGGTTCTTGCGAGAACGTACCGAAGATTCCGTATCACGATCGGAAACCGCCCGGTTTGACTAAAAGCGCCACGTCCAACGATATTTACGGAGCGCATAAATCCAAGTATCAAACATGCAACAATAACAATATCAACAACGTGAACAACAATAACAATTTGAATCACGGTGGAAAGGGGAAAGCTAGCAAGAAGAAAACGGAGAGCAACGTCTGGCTGGCTATTCACGCGCAGGGTTTGAAGCTGTTTGAAAGAGGAGGAGAGCCGAGGGAGAGGATCGAGTTGGCGCAGTTTCAGTGGAAGGACATTCAGACGTTGAGCTATAGTAAAAGCTGCTTGGTGGTGTACAGCAAGGTGAATGGGAAGAGATGCAAGTTCAAGCTCAGAATGGACCACCGAAAGTAAGCGTTTAATTATTTGTTTGACTCGGTTGGATGCAAATTAGCCGGTCGATAGCGAATGAGAAAGAGCAGGTTTTTCAACGGCGGATGAAAGAGTTATGGTTTTTTTATCGGAACGTTAAACGTATTATGAGCTTCTCTTGTTGAAATTTCAATGATATTCAGAGACAGGAGACTGTTCGAGTTTTGCGGGTGAGTTTAATTAGATTATCGTCGAAGTAGATTTAAAATGGAGATGTTACGGGAATTTTAAGATGAAAAGAGATTATGCTTCGTGTTTCTTCCACGTTTTGAATGGAATTTAAAGGATTTTAATGCACAGCTCGTGTCACCGTAGGCTTCGAGGTTCAGAGAGATTTTTTTGGTTTTTTCAGAAGTTACTTCGCTTTCAAACTCACCTCTTTGCACCATCAGTTCTTCTTAAGGCTGCGCGCTGAGCTTACCTCGCTTCAGGGACTCGCGAAAGGTATGTTTCACCTTCTACACATTGGGTTTCTGCGTTTAGATGTGAGATTCGATGGTTGAACAAGTTCTTTAGAAATAGTCGTTTCTGGTTCGTATCTGCGGATTAAGATATTATGTGATTAAGAAACTGGGAAACGTGATAAATTTACTCTTTATCTAATTGTAATTATGTTAATTAATGTCTTTCAGTTTCGAGTATTAATTATACGACTGACAAGTTCGAACTATTTTAGTCAGTGTATGACATTGAAGGAAACTAGAATATTTAAAAAATATTTGAAGATACTTATTAGTATAAATAGTTTTGGTTTAAAATTGATATAAATATTTTTCGTATTAAAAAACAGTCAAAAATTAAATAAGTCCAATTTATAGCACATTAAACACTAAGTAATTAAAATTTACTTCCAAAAGCATCCTTACCCTACCAAATCAACCATTAAACACAGGACAGGCAAAAATATCAATACGAACATTATACTATGAATATGGAAAATATTTATTTTTGCTAATGTATAAACTAATTGGACATCATTTTTACTGCAACTGTGAAATACAACAAACAATATTTCCCAACGAAAAAAACAAAAGGCAATCTCACACAGTATTCGAATATTTCTAAAAGCAACAGTGCACTATCGAAGAAAATTTCAATTTATCCGTCGAACAAAACCATCTTCGAAGAATGTTCCATTTTATACCGCACAAGCAATAACACAAAGCACGAAATATTTTTCAGAATTCGGCGTTCCTATGACAGTAGAGGCGAAGGCCTCGCCGTCCAAGTCCAAGTCCCACGATAGTAAAACGAAAATAGCCATAGCGAACACCGTGAAGAACGCGCAGCTCAGGCCGAATTACACGATGCAGCTGGAGGAATACCAGAACAAAGAGAACGAGAATCCGCAGAAAGATGTGAACGCGGTACCGAAGCCGAAGGATCCGCTTCTTCGCGAGCCTGGTTTCTATTCTTCGGAGGAGGACGCGCTTTACGCGCAAGTGAACGTTCGTCTGGAACCGGAAGGCGAGTCTCGCGACACGGAGAACGAATCGGACAGAAGTTTAACGGGTCCGAATGAGCCGCTCTCGTTGGACGTGAAAGGAATGAAAAACGACGGAAAGCTGTACAACTGTCCGCGGATAGAATTAGACACGGAAATCGAGTGTGGCTATTCGCTTCCTAAGATTATGTCATCGAACGACGTGGATCAACTGGAGAAATCGGATAATCCCGAGGAGCTGTACGCCGCGATCAATAAGGTTGGAATCTCGAGGAAGAACGAGTTTCCTGTTCCGGATGAGGTATGGGACGTGTCGGACGTCAAGAAGTCGCTACATAAGGTAGATCGACTTTTTGTTATGTTTTCTTGTGACCCGAAAAAACCTGGCGTTCACCATATCTTTTGTGGGATTGTTTGGGTAATGGTGAAATCATTGCACGAAAGATTTTTCATATCTTTGGACTGTGTAACAGTGGTACTATTAAATTTCTAGCGTTTGATGTTATTGGTAATTGGAAAAATTGATCCTTGATACTGTTAATGTGATTCCGTACGTAAAATCGTTGAGCAATTTTGTCGTGAATGTAGTTTTTGAAATCTGAATTCTTTTAACAGGAATGGAATTATTACACTCTCGTATAATTTTAGGAGAGTAGAAATATCTGAGAGTGGAAATTGTGGTTTACTGCTGTGAAGTGTACTTTCTCTTCTTCAATGTAAAAATTGACAAATACCAAAATTAAAATTGAAGTCTGCTGCAAGAAGGAGCAACTCCAAATGTATTATACTAACTTTTCGAAAAGTAATAATAACAGTGTTAACAAAAATATCTTTTCCTTATGGCAGAGTGAATGTTGAAAATTTCAAGCTGTCCCCTTCTTGTACCAAACTGTATAAGAATCCACTTATCTTGGATAAACAGTTACATTAAACGCCATTGTTATGTTATAAAGCTATGTATTAGTACATGGAAACATATCAAAAAATATCAATCTACACTATTTTTTTTTAAATTAGGGAAAAGAATACAGTGTATCATTGTCAGATCTGTTTCTTTCTTTTTGCACTAATTTATTCAATGCTATCTATAACCCAATTTCAACAAATTGTAAAGTTACCTCATTTTTGTAAAGTCTTCGATTAATGTTAAAAAACGATTTTGCATGTCGTAGATGAAGACCTCGAGTTTACCGAATTACGGAACACCCAGGCAAACCGGCGGTTATCGTACACCGAGTTTACCACGTCGTCTAGGGGTGAAAATGGGAACGCGTGCGATCTACAGCAGCCTCGTGCAGAAAGATACCGCTCTTACCGACGACATGGAGTCGCTATCGCTAAAATCAGACACGGAATCGTCGATTCAGTCGTTATCCGCTCGATCCACGGAATCTCCTCTACCGGAAGCATACGTGCTCAGTTAGTAACATTTTTGATTGAAAATTTATCGATTTTTATAAAAATTAAAATAGTTCCACGAATATTCTAAAATCTCCGAGACACAATCATCGTCAAATACTTCGAAAATATTAAATATTTCTGTTTAAATATGTATATACGTAAAATACTACAGCAAATGTTATCCTTCTCTAGACAATAGTGTACAATTCTGTTGCACAAATGAAAAAATTCAATATCAAGATTCAAATTCAAATTTGCGAACATTGAGATTCTGTATCTTAGAGCCAGACTAACCTAATTCGCTTTCTTTTTAAATTGAGTTATCTGTCATTTATAAACGTATTTATTTCTTTTCTTCTTTTGTTAAAGTAGACAAAAAATATTCACATTTTACTGTTCTTTAGACAGCTTGATATTTAAATATAAGAAAACTATCATTGAATGGGAAGAAATATATTTTCTGAAAATTGGAATAGTTTTACGAGTATTCTAGTCTTTATGACGCAATAACCTTTGAATACGTCTTTGAAAATCTCACTGCTCTTTCTTTATTTTATCCGAGATATAGAGATCTATTTACGTTACGTAATAAATAAACAAGATTTAATCGATGCTTTTTTATTCTAACCTAGAATTATGGAACTTGGATCAGTTTGAGGCGTAGATTTATAAATTGCATAACTTCTATCCAACAGACGCAGATATCCGTACGAACGATGAGACATTTCGTGTTACTGAGGACGAATCGATGTCAGCTTCTTTAGCGGCACGACTCGAAGAACTGTCATTCGCCGAGGAGCGAATTCTGCAGACGATTAAGTTGGAACGAGGCCACGGTGGCAGCATAGGGCTGCAAGTGACAGAGGGTAACGACGGTGGCGTTTACGTACAAGCGGTGTCGGTTGGCGGATCGGCCGATATGGCGGGAAACGTGAACAAAGGTAAGCTTTTGAAGCCCCATTTTTCACACTGTCCGTATTAATTCCGTGAAATTTATTGGCTGCAGGAGATCGTATCGTCGCGATAAATGGGCAGAATTTATTGCATCTACGGTATGAGGACGCTCTGAAGATGCTGCAGAGCTCGTCCGACACGATCGAGCTGGTCCTCTCTCAGGCTGCCTCTCGTAAAAACGCAACCTCCAGGCAGAATCACGAACAACCAGCGAGAAATAATTATTTGAAGTGAGTATAAAATACTTTCTTTCCTCGAGCTTCGTTTTTTATTTCACGTTAAATTTAATAGATCGATGGTACTTTGAGGTTATCGTTCATTGGTTCTTGTGTGAAAGTGCGCCGTATTACGTCATAGAATAATTTGTTCAAAATAGTTTGGCGGTTTTTTTTCTCGTTACAGTTAGTCGAAGTTTGTGTTGTGGATGTGTTCGATTAATTTTCACGTTTTTTTTTATAATTTTAAAAGTGAATAGAATACATTAGTATTTCATTTTAGAATTTTTAACGAGAGTTCATGGGAAATTGCGTATTATCGTAATATATGTCGTCGAATGTCATAACTTCGTATGTGCAGTCAAGTATTGCCAATGAAATGCCGATTATTCGATGTGTGTGTTATTACTCAAATTCTAAGATGTTGCATTCTAAATTTCAAATTTTGCTAGAACACCTTGTATAAAATAGAACATAGTGTAATACGCATTAGGCAAATGCCTACCAATTATTTTCAGTCCTACCAATTATTTTCCCACAAAATCTCATCACAACGGATACGACACTGAAAATGTTCAAAGAATTATTCAAAGTTAAACCGTGAATTATATTCAAAGAACGATTAACCTCAAATATGACAAAACATGCGTAGTTAGGAAAAATTATATTCAAATTACGTGGAATGAAAAATCACTTGAAGATTAACACGTTAGCTTTGCTTTCAACGAAATGTCGTTTAACGTGCTCTACTATAAAAGTGAACAAAACTGGTCTGACCTAATTAAAAAGAACCAGCGTTGGCTATATAGAAGAATGACTTTTCAGTGTGTCGCATTTAAAAGTATGCATATTGATTTTCCAAGCAAAGTTTAAGAGTTCACGTGCATTGATTCCAGTGACATCAGATTCGACGTGTCCTCGGAAGCGGATACGTCGAGCATGACAAACAAATGGCTCGTTCAAAGGACCACCGACGTTGCGTCCGTGCAAAACACCTCGAGCGCGTATAGCAGTGCCGCATCGAGCGCAATGGGTAATCACAATGCAAACAGCCTGTACATGGCCGATCTCGTCGATAATGGTGCACTTAAGTCCGCCAGTATGTTGCTCAGTATAGAGGACTTCGACGTCAGCAGGACGAGTCGCCAAGTTTTTATTTAGTCGTCGATAAACAAGTTAGTAGTTATTCTGTACATACACGTTTTTTTTTTTTTTTTACCTTCTGTCCTGTGACATTTGAATCACTGTGGTGAAACGATTGCGTTTGAATGCAGTTGACAGAAAGGGAATACCTTTTGAGAATGAGAATCTGTGAATTTATAGACTGTGCTTATACTTTGTACAAATATTTCCACACTGATGAGTGATTTAATTCACGCATTCAATGAATCTTTAATTTAATTAACCTTTTGCTTTGTAAGTTACAACAAGTCAGATTCGTCGCACAGGTTAATAGTTAAGGAAGAGGAATAGAAAAACACTTGTATTATTGAGAAAAATGAATTTACATTCTTAACTTAAATTTACAAATTAGAATTAATTACCAATTTTAGAATTGTGAATAGATGATACCTACACAAATGGCTAGTAAAATAATTATTAAAATGATTACAAGACAAAGAGCATCATTTATAGAAATGAAGTCATAATTTATTAATTTCTTACTGTTCGATACATTTTCTAAAATGCAGCACTGTTTTTGTAAATTTATTCATATGTTTTGTAAAATTTTTAAGTTTTCTTTTTAATTTACTACAAATCCGTAATATTTCTCACACTTCATTTTACATTCTTTTTCCTTTTGCAATTAACTTTTAGAAACCAAAGATGTATACGTATCCTTATTACACGTAAATAATTAGATATTCGATGTTTAATATTTAAAATGTGTCTTGTTAATTAAGTTACCAACAATGACCTTCCGCTTGGCCTTTAAATTTCGGTTCTCCAATCAAGGCTAGTACGTGCAAAATCCTATAGAAAATACCATTAGGGCCATTACGTCCATTATGTGAAACGTGGCTGCATCGACTACGTAACCTAATCGAATTGTTTTTATCCATTTAACGGACGAAGCCTTGCTCAGAGTTCGAGGCGGCACCATTCGCTACTCTTTCTATTTGCGCGCTTAATACGAGCTGTCACGTCAGTCTTGTCCTCTAACTGGCAACGGAAGATTAGAGTTTGATCTTGAACAGCGAACTTCTATCCGCTAAAGTTCATTTTTCAGTCTTTTCCATGCATCTACTTAACATACCTTCAAATTCATTTTCGAAATTAAACGAACGAAAAGAAAAACTGTAGTTTAATCTTGACGGATATCTTCGTTGGTAAATTGCCCATAAAGGCGAACTCTTAATTTTAACATCTTGAAGTTGCCGAAGTAACATCGTTAATTAAATTGAAACACGAGAAAAATATTTCTTTAACTTTTATTCGTCGAATTAGCCATTATCCAAATGGAAATAAAAATTAGAAAAAAAAGCAGAGATGAAATTAGAACGAAATATTTAACACTAATTGTAAAGTAGTTTACAAAGAAACTGATCTTCTCCAAAAGGAGTACAATTTACCGGTTCTATCAGCTTTAGGAATAAGATTGATTTTAGCATTTCAGCCGTCATCTCGTTAGGGTCTTCCTTCATTCAATAGGAAATTTAAACTTGGCAACGTTAGTGAATCACTGCTATTGACCGCGCGGCGGAGAGAGGAGTGGAGGACCGTCTGTCATTTGTAGGGAATCACCTTTAGTATCCCTCGGTCTAACGCCGTGGTTAGTCACGCGTTTCCGTATTCGGAATTTCCCTTGAACACATCCGTGAACTCTGGCCAATCTTCGCTAGCCTAGCCAGCATGCACAAATGTAAATCCAACGAATTGCCTTCCTTCACGTGTTTCCAATAAAAAACACTTCGCCTGTTTGCCAATGTACCGAGTGATCAGTTAAGACTTTGATCAATTTATCCAGAGCTGTGTGATCAAGTTTCCAATTGGGAAGAGTGACTATACGCATTCGGTGACGAACGTGTTACAGAGCCAACAGCAGCCAGCCAGCAGCAAGCAGCTTCATCGACATTTTCTAGTGTCATGCACACCAACGTTCGATCAATCGTTGTTTCAGGCGCAGAATCTGCCAGCAGCACACCGCCAGTCCCACCGAGACGGAAGAAGCGCAAAGCGAAGTCTGTGGCAATTGCAAAATCTCCGGAAGGAACGTCACTGACGCGTCTCAAGAAGTCAGACAGAAAGCGTTTGGCGCCGCCGCCACCGCCGCAAGCTACCAGAAGAATCAGGACTCACGTCGCCGAGGATCAGCCAGAAGAAACGACGTCGATAGCGCGACCAGTCGACGATGCAGAAGAAACGTTCAACAGTCTAAGTTCCAGCGAGACGGTCAGAGGAGGAACACCGTCGTATCTGCAGTTCGACGACACCGACCCAGTCTTGTCTACCAACGAAACAACCATTCACGATGACAAAAACGAAATATGTAGCCCGAACCGTGTCGTCGCGGATCCACCGTATGAACAACGTCCGTTCATTTTCGAAACATTGGCCAGGAAGGAGACGAACAAGTATCCGCCGTTGTTCTTCACTTTGCAAGACTTTCAAAACGTCATGTCGAACACGCTACAGCAGCACGAGGAGGACGATACAGATGACAAGTCACCGGTGGAGATCGCTAGCTCTATCCGCGATTCTCTCCGCGAGTCGTTCGAGAACTCGTTGGAAGAGTTCGAGGAGAACGAGCTGTGCTTTCGTGTCACAACCACAAACTTACCGTTCGAGAAATGCTTGGACACGTGGAGCACCACGTTCGCGGACCATTTTATCGAGAAATGCGACGAGCCTAGTCGCTTCATCTTCGAGGATTACATCGACAGGAGCAACAAGGTGAACATTCGACGATCGGCTGGCCCGATGTGCTACGACAGCTTCGAGGAGGAAGCCACGGTTCCTCGATTAACCAAGGTGAGATTTGTGATCGAGTCACCTAGCTCCTCGACTCCGGACAACGAGTTGAACGAGGACGGCGAGGCAATGAGCGACAGTTTGCAGAATATCGATCCTCTGTCGGACGATGAAATCGGCTGGAATCGTACCTCTTCTTCCGTGCGATTGATCGAGATCACGAACGATACGGATTGTACGGATACGAGAAGGAACGTCGAGAAACAGACGACAGTTAGACGGATTTCCGACGAGTTGGCTGACGTACCTCCTCTAAGCTCGATTTTGAAGACAAGAAAAAACAGCTCGGCTGAATGGTCCTCGCTGGAAGACGCCACGAATTTCATCGAGATGGCTGGTAAAGAAGCATTCACAGAGGACGAGGACGATCGCGTTAATTCGAACGATTCGTTTCGTGCTTCGATCTCGCTCGGTTCGCCGGGTAGGTCGTTCAAATTGAAAGCCGCGGACGTCAGCAAAGCGGAGTTGAGTTTAATCAAGTCGAAGACGAAGTGCGGTTCTTTGTGGACCAAGGTCAAGAATGATTTTTTCAACGGGTCGCTTGATAATAACAACGTTGCCTGGGAGACTGCTCCAAGCAGCTTGGAAGACAATAATGAATCTACGGACGAGGATTCGTCGTTCGAGATCTGTGAAAATGAAGGTAAGAGCGAAGAGACAGTTTCGAGAATTGTAGACGAAACGGAAGGTGATCTTGAAGAGGAATCGTCGAACGAAGTAAACGCCAATTGCATAATCTGCGAGAAGGGAGATTTCGACGATAACGAAGAAGAATCGACAATAAACGAGATACAAGTCTTTGACGAAGAATTAGTGAGAAACGAAGTAGAAAATAGCGTTACAGGGGATCACTCGATACAAAATGAAGCGGAGGCTGAAATTGGCGAAGAAGTGTTGTCAGCTGAAGAAGAGGTAGAAAATGACGAGCAGCTGCCAATAAGAATTGATTCACCTAACAGATCGACGCAAGAATACAAAAGGAAGATTTTCGTGAGTGAATCGCTTCGAAACATGATGAATCGCTATGATTTCGCGTTGCACGATTCCGAAGAGGAAAATCAAGATTCTAATGTGAATAATACTAGTGTAGATACTTACGATATTCCCTTAAGTGAAACCAGAACGAATTCTCGAGAATCGATCGGTAAGAATGACGAAATGAAAAGTATCCCGATTACTGAAAATAATAAATTGTCACATAATAATTTTATAAGCGACGAATATTTTGAAAGGAGAGAAAGCATCAGCGTTCCAGTCGATATTCGGCGAAACACTTTTTTGGAAAATATGCTATCCGAGGATTCGGTTCACGTTTGGGCAAGTTGCGAGATCGTCGCTACGCATCCGAAAACACCTGTAACATTCGAAGAATCGATGTCGAAGAGCAGAAGAGACCAGAAGCTCGTCGATCGGTTGCACGATTCGATAAAAATGGATCCAGAGATCCAGAAGATTTTACAGGAGTCGAGAGCCTCGTTGAGAAAGACGGACACGAGTCTTTCAAAAAGGTCAGCGCCCAAGAAGATCGTCCAAGCGAACAAGAAAAGCGCCGATGACGCGAAGTGCGACGTATTGAATGAATTGCTTTCCAATTTCAGCAACATCAGATTGAAACCGGTGAACGGTGAAAGGAAAACTGCTACTGAATATCATCCACAAGCTGCTATTCGACGGGAGGACGATAAAGAAAAACATGAAACGAGATCGGAAGGTAGAGAGAGTTGGAAAAATAGCGAGGATACCGTGCCCGGTGATTTGACCAGGGAAACGTACGACGAAACGATCAATTTACAGTCGAAAATTCCTTCGTCGAAACGTTGCAACCCTCCCTCGACGATCACCGGCAAACTTCAAAACGACCATGATAAAACTGACGAATTACAAGCGAAGTATAGAGGAAATAAAGACAGCGGTAACACCTGTTCCCAAACGGATCCCATGAAACTCAGAAACTACGAAATCTCAGCTGATCCTAACGAAGAATATTCCAAACTAAATCTGGACAGAGACGAAAGAACGAGGAACGTGGATCACACGGAATCGTCGATGAGCGTACACGAAGTTCGCGTGGAACCGAGGAGAAACGATACCGTGAAGAACGTGTCCGATGAAAGAATTAGCAGAGAGGGAGCTGGAGAAGGCTCCGTGGAACGTCTGCAGATGGTAAGCTGCAGTGAAAAGACTGACGCAAATGACGAGTCGCATAATCGTAGTAGCGTGACCGCGCAACAGTTAGAGTTAAGCAGGAGGACGGGTAGCGGCGACAAGAGTGCCATAGCTAGGAGGATTCCTCGACCCCATTGTAATAATAATGACAATAACAGGGCCGTAACACCCGTAGCTGTAAGTGATGACCAATCCCGCGACATTGTAACGATAACCCCGGGTAGAGTTAGGAGCTTCGTTAAGTACTACGAGATTCAACGCGAGACGACGACCGACAGAGATTCTAAAACTAACGATAGAGTAGATAGGGACCGGATGCCGGAGCACCAGTCGGTGTTCAGTATCCGCAGGGGTTTGGAGGCGAAGGCCGTCGAGGCTAGGTCCTTGGAAACGCAAAAGAGGGACAATCATCGCTTCTCTGTGGCGGAGAAAAATTCGGAGAAATTGATCTGTTCGACGAGGAGAGAAGGACAGTGCGCTGCGATTGTCGAGAAGTTTCAAACGGAGAATCTAACCGACGATCGTCGGTTCAGAGATATCGTAGAGAACAACGAGTGCGAGAAGGCGAGTAAGATGGAGAAAGACGCGTTTGCCAGCGATTCGTGCGGGCAGCAGCCTGGTAAGGTGAAACGAAAGAAGTCGGTGAAGTTTCAAGGTGGATTCACTGTGATCGGTACGAGAAATCCCGACGAAGATGGTACCGTGGGGAGTCCCGCGGGCCAGAACGCAAACTTGCCGGAAGAGAAGAACGCTCCCGACAGACCGACTCTGAAAGAAACCGTTCCAGACGAGCAAGTGGATTTCCAGGCTGGACAGACGGAGGAATTGCTGGACAGTGAATCGCGCTCTTTCGAGAAACGAGAAACTGCTGCACAGGTTAGTGTTCAATTTTAATGGTGATAGAACGGTTCGTTAGGGGGACGTAAAGAGGAGGTGTACCTGAGGTGTTTCTTAAATGAACGATAATTGAGTTTTGTTCGGATTTAGGGCTGTTGCTGTGGCATTTTATTTGCATTGTTAATTGAAGTAAATTGTGGACGTAGCTGGTGATTATTCTTTTTGTTATAAATAAAGAAGATAACGTAATTGATTATACAAAGTATTTATTGTTTCATAGGAATGTAGAATTCTGATTGATTTTTTGAAAAAAATTAATATCAATTTTGGTAAAATAACGAAAGTTTGGAAGAAACGTTCACTTACTATATTTGACAAATTTGACGATAGGCAAATATCACAGCAAAATATATTCCTTCTGATTTAGAAGATTAGTTACTTGTATTAATTGTAAAGTAACGATACAGCATTGATCAGTTTTAAATAAATTTTGAGTTTAAGAGTAAAAAATAGTTTACACAACTTTAAATGAAATTACACCTGTTCTACACACGTACCTCCGACGAGATGGAATAAAATAACAATCAACTTAAATTTTTCCCCGCAGATACAAGCCGCAGCTAAATGTGAGGAATGTTCAGGTATTAATCGCTTCGTTCCAAAACCAGAAACCCCACGCCTCGTATTTTATTGTACTGTATAGTTAAAACCGTAGTTTCTACAAGTCATCGTCGTCGTCGTTTCCCCCGAATCTCGACGAGATTTTACCGCGACGCTTCGTAGCGTCACAGCTACATTAATTTTTTCTTTTTTCACATGTTTCTTTCAATTCTCAACCGAAGAACAGATTTCACGCTGATTCACGAGAATTCTATTTTCACGCAGGCGCCACTGAAGTGTCCTTTGTTAATTTACAATTCTACGTAAATTTCATTCTATACTGCGAAAGAATAAATTAGGGATGATAGAAATCACAAGCATAATTTCCAAGCATAAATTACACGATCAAATTTTACAAACTTTGTGTGTGTCAAAAATATTCAATCGGTATTGATAATTAAAGGGTTCCAAACGTTTCAAATACCAAAAAATAAAATTTTCAAGAGAAGTGTGTATATTTATTAGTGCAAAATAAT